CAAGCAGGCACCGGTGACCAGAGTCTAATTGTAACAAAACTGAGGTTTCAGCCATTTTAACATTCACTAACCTCGCAGTAGGACCTGGTTACAAAGGTAAGTTTTTTCAGCTAATAATGCATTTCCAGTGTGAAACAACAATTTGCATCAGCATGGAGCCTACTGAAGTAGGCTGTTATTAGAAGCCAGGGTGGTCACCTGTTGGCATTAGAGACTTCTGGGCATTATTTGCCTGCTTAAAGATGCTGCACAATAGACACAATCTGTCAGAGATGGCACTCGGGTGGATGAGAAGAGAAAGTTTAAAGACTCAATAAGTCTAACAATCAGACAGACCCCCCCCAGACGTCATACTCAAGCATGTGAAGTTTAATTTCAGACCAGTTTGGCTAGTTACATTTACGGAAGTGTATTGGATAGGCCAGAGTCCCTTATCAAGGGAAAATGAAAAGATGTTGGGACAGCAAAGCAGCAAAATCCATAGGAATCTGGATGGTTTATTTGTGAATTATTGGAAAATACAAAACTTGACCTCTCTATGAAACAGCAAGAGTCTAAAAGCCTTAAATAACCAAAACTGACCTAGAGACCAAGTGTAATTTCCTGACTACAAAACTTTACTGAATCAACAAAATTCTTTTAAGTGTTGACCTTCTGATTCCCCGATTTTTTTCCTTCTACTGATTCAATTTTCTTCTTATCAAACACAAAACTTTTGCCTTTGATTATCAAAACCATATAAGCCTATTTGCTGCACCTCTTCCATTAGTTACAAATCTGCAAAGGCTTGACAGCCTCTCCCTTTCCCCTGGTTGATTTGGCCCCATACAAAAGCCACAAAAACTTTTCCCGTGCCAGTGTTCTCAAGGTATTTCACAAATGGAAAAATTACTTCCAAGAAAAAAGCATCAGATTCTTTTTGCCTTTTCCAAACTCTCCTTAGTCCTTTTCTCCAGCCTTTTCTCAAAGTCACAACAGAAAAACAACCAATATTAGTAACAGAATAATTTTTTCAATTTATAATTTTTTTTCTTCCTTTCAGCAAGCTTATATTCTTAGCACTGTTTTATTCATGTGATAGAAGCAGGGCTGACATATCCAGCGAAAATCTCTTTGGTACATTAAAATAGAAGAACCAATATGAGTATAATCGTTAATAAAAAGCTGCTTGAAACTCGAAGTTTGTCTTCCAATGCTAACTCAGGTTATGCCTTCCATAATGCTTGAAAGTAAAAGATTGCTCTACTCAGCAAAAATTATTGCAAACAGTATTTTACAGAAAGCAGTATGTCAGGGGTGGAAGGAGTGCAGGGATAAATGGGTGTAAACTGTCTGTACTAGTTTGTTTTTTCTCATTTACTTTTATCTCTACACTCACTCTTTGTACATTTACTTATTCTGTGTAGTTAAATGGGCATTTCCAGGCACCTCACTTAAAGCAGCACTAAATACTGCTCAAAACAATACAATATCTTAAAGTGAGTACTTAGAAAGGCTTACTAAATTGTTGTTAGAATTGCAACAGCCAGCAACAATTTCAGAACTCCTAGCTTTCAAGAAAGTACAAGAAAAGCCGTGTTTCAACTCTCTTGTGCTATGTGGTGGCTCTTAAAAGAGCCTTTAGGGTGGTGGGATAATGTTTAGGATCATCTTAACAGAACATTGTGTCCACAAACTAGGCACGCTCTCCGCGGATGCGGCGGGCGAGCTGGATGTCCTTGGGCATGATGGTGACGCGCTTGGCGTGGATGGCGCACAGGTTGGTGTCCTCGAAGAGCCCCACCAGGTAGGCCTCGCTGGCCTCCTGCAGAGCCATGACGGCCGAGCTCTGGAAGCGTAGGTCGGTCTTGAAGTCCTGCGCGATCTCGCGCACCAGGCGCTGGAAGGGCAGCTTGCGGATCAGTAGCTCCGTCGACTTCTGGTAGCGCCGGA